GGGGGGGGGGGGGGGGGGGGGGGTAGCACCCCCTGCACCCCCCACAAAATCCGTCTATGTATGAAAATATTCAAAATTGCAGATGTTCAGGGGGGTGAATGCCTCTCGTAAGCATACTGGCCAAGAACATGCATTTTGATGAATGATGCCGAATCACAGCGTAGCATTGGTTACACTGTTTTGGCTGAGTTAGGCTTCTGTAAGATCTCTAGAGATTCTGTGTCTGAGCACTGCACTGAAAAGAAAACAAGGCCACAAGTGTTGTTCCTGTTGGAGGGTAACTGCACCTGGTTATGTGTTCCATTTGATCATTCTTAACTTTAAATAGCTCTCCCGAACATCAGAAAGCTGATTGGTTGGGTATTCATGAGAAGATATGTCAATTATTAATTCCACTACGTACTCCAATGCCAATCCTGGGCTCGGAAGAAGACAGACAACATCGCAAAAATCAACAACTTATCAGACAGGTGGTTTATCAAATAAAAAGAAAATAGCCAATTAAATTACATCAGATCGATCGGTCTTTATTAGAAGCTATTTCTTCACACAGACTTCATCATCTGGCTTCTAATACATATACATACAACTTAGATGCTTGCTTATGTTTGTTCCATATTGTATGTATGCTTGCATGCATTATCAGAACAGTAAAGATTTCACAACTTGTCAACAAGATGTGTTTGCAACAGGCTCATAGCAAGCTTGCACATCCTGTTGACAAGTTGTTGGAACAGCATTGCTACAGGTTTATTACAAATTGTGCATTTTTATGTGTGTAACTGTAAGCGCATGTGAAGTCTCATTCTTTATTTCTTTTGAACTGCTACTCATAATGATAGCTTCCTTTGCATGCAATATATTTAAAAATATCAAATACATGTACGGACATTAATCAGGTGAAGGAGGCTAACAATCTGTCCAACAATCCAATACCATAGTGTTTTAACTCTCAAAGTAATGCAATAAATACTTACATATTCATTCTTCCACACAGAAACAAATGATTGAGCTATGTCGTACAACTGGTCAAAAATTATTGTTTGAAGGAAAGTATGAGAGTGCTGTACCAGCTGCCTTAGCCGCATTAAAGTTTGCAATCCAGGTGTATGGTCTGTCAAGTATTGAGTTGGTTCCTTCCTATCTCATTTTGGGGGAGGCAAGCATAGGTAAGATTCATTTCACTGACTGATTATATAAGCCCAGCACTTTCCCTTATTGACAATACTGGTACATACCTCTGGAAAGTATGTCTTGGCTATAAAGCCTCGTTTTCATGTATGTGACATCAGTTAAAGCCTTACATCTCAATCACAAAAATGAGGCTTTATAGTGATCAAGATGATATACTTTCTGGAAGTGTATATAGTAAAGTTGTCTAACATTAGGCAGATTGTATAACAATGTAGGAAGCATTAGAGCTGAACAGGTAAAGTAATAACCTACTCACACTTTTTTGTTTTAAGGTCTGAACAAGTTATCCCAAGCAAATGAATATTTGTCGCAAGCACAGTGGACTGTGTTAAAAACTCCAGAGTGTGGCAATGAGATCAAATCAAGATTGTATAGAAATCTAGGATTGTTAGAAGCAGCAAGAAAAAATTATTTTGATGCTTTAAGTCATCTATCTAATGATGTAAGATGACAAAAATCAAAGTTTAAATATTGCTCTTTTTTACCTTCCTTCTCCATTATTATTTCAGTTCACCATGTCTTTTATTCCTAATCATCTCTTCCATGTAATTCCTCACTGACATTTCATCTTTTAAATGTCCATGTCATCTTTTCCTCTTTCTGCACTTTCTATCATTACATAACCATTCTTCTGATCTCCTTGTACATCAATAAAAAACTCACAGGATCTGTTCACTTTTCAGTGTAATTTTACCTACTAGACCTACATTTTCGTCAGATTTTGCATTCCTTATCGTTTCCTTCTGCAAATTTCCAGGATCAGTATCCAGATTTGTATTTCTCATCTTGGGCTTAATTTTCCAGCAAATTGATGCCAGATCGGGATAGATGTATCTATTCTTGCGTTTCAATCACGTGAATTTTAGCATAATTTGACTCAGGTGGGGGTCAACCATTGAACTGAGGTCAACTACAACAACAAAGAAACAAAATGGCTGTCAACGCATCTTATGTAAATGAGGTCTCCAACTATAAAAGCCAGTATAAAACAATAATACGTTAGCTACTCTTTACCCTTGACACAGATCCTTGACCCCCACGTGACATCATATGAAACCCAAGAATAGATTCAGCACATCCCCATAGTGTGTTGTTCAGTTGTTTTACATACTTCGCAGTCAGTTCATTCTTAGAATTCAGTTTGATAGTGAATCACCTAGAAATACATGAAAAACCAGGATAACTTGCATATTTAGGTGTACCATTCATCCTGTGCCTATGGTACGGACGATATTCAAACGTCAGGAGGTTACTTCCACATGGCAAATGTTTTCTACAGACAGAACAGACTGGATGTAGCTTTCTCGCTTTATAACCAGGTATATATCTGGGCCATCGCTTTTAGGGTTGTCATTTTAGTATTTTTGACAAGACGGTTAGCAAAATCTACAAGGGGCAAAAATTATTTAACGAAATCCACAGTGGCGATGCCAATGTTTAATGATTTGCATTATTAAAACCTTTAGAAATGTATTTTTAATTAATCTATTTAAATGCAGGTTTATTAGCATAGCAGTTGCCGTGGCTAGCTTCGCCATTGGTGATCCCTATACGACTATCTCTCGTCCAAACTAAGTGTTTGAACTCATTTTCATTACGTTGGGCACATGAAAAGTTGGACATTTTACTTTCTGCAGGTTATTGATATATGGAATGGTCATTTAAGCCATCTGGTGGATCAGAGAACACGTGAACCTGAGGTTACTACTGGACTTATTGGACAGATGATAAGTGGTGACAATGCGAATGATATCGATGTTCTAGGTTAGATTCATAGATAAACTGAAAGTTGAAAACATAATCTCGATAGGCTCTCTAACCAATATATCGTGACTGCAGATTGGTATGTTTTGTCAGAGTCGTATACGAAGGTCTATAGCTATAGCCAAGGAAACATTTTTGGAGAAAACTTTGAGAATTCTGACAGTTCTATATTTAAGTTCTGTATTTCCTGGAATGTTTGCCATTTGGAACTTTAGAGTTGCGAAGTAACAAAGTTTGCTTCCCAGAAGAGATAAAAGTTGCGAAGTAACAAAGTTTGCTTCCCAGAAGAGATATCTTCATTGTAGATAACATTAGTTTCTCTTTTATAAAGGTGAAGCTCAAGAAGCAGAAGCAATTCAAGTTTTGAATGCAGTCTTAGAACTACGTGAACAACAAACTGTTCAGAATGCGTCCATTATGTGTAAAGTTTACTACACTCTTACCATGTTACATTTTATCCTAAATGACTCGAAACAGGTAATATAACATCTCAAATGTGGCCCTTGGCATAGCTTGCTTTCAGTTTCACTACGGCATAGCCTGCCTGCTGAATTTCTGTCCGAAAAAGGTTCGTCTTTTCTTAAGCCGTGCAGCAGATGGTGGGAAAACGGCAATTGAAAAATCACATCTTATTTTTCACTGGAAAATGTCAAAGATACAAACCACGACAGCTGATTGGTATATTGACAGCTAGAACAATTTAGGAGCTTTCTAAAATACTATGATTCTTGTTGTTTTCAGGCAGAAGAATTTGCAGGCAAAGCAAAAACTGCGTGTGAGAATATTGTGTCTGGCGATGCAGGGATGGCAGAAAAAATTTCCGAACTGTCAAAAGCAATTGAACAGATTGAAACTCCTACTTCATAAAGCAACATTATTAAATATTTGTAAATATTTCAATTTTTGTTGATAATCAACATGTAGGGTCTAGTTCGAATATTTCATGTGCTAACCCAATGAAAGTGAGCTCAAACAATGAGTCTAAGTCATGAACATTATAGCTTTGGCCAGTGGGTTTGGCATATGAAAAGTTCGACATTTGAATTAGTGCGTCATCATGTTGTGTATTATACAGATACTATAGCATTGGTTTCTTGCCGCTGGATGTATTTTCTTTTCACGACTTGGTTGGAAAAATAATTAAACATGGTGTTTTCCTGTTGTTGATTTGTGTGTGAATTGTTCACTGGCTTGTACCACACTTATATCTTCAAATATTCTGTCTATCACCAGATGATTTTACTCACACAGATGCCTCTCAAATAACCCCCTCTATAGTTGTTCATTTTTTCTTTCGTTATATTTTCCCATGAATTTCCCCCGTGTACATGTTCACAGATGGTTCTACTCCCCCTAATTGCAGTCATTCCAAAAATCGAAAAAGTGGCTGAAATGGACGAAAGATTAAGGGGTTAGCCTTTGCTTTTTTGCTATTTGTCGCCACTTTTTCAAAAATGAAAAAAGGGGATAGAAATGTGCCTAAGAATGGTCTTTAATTCTTGGCCCGTTTGAACCGGGCTTTCAAAAACAAAAAGTGGACAAATTTGATGAAGGTTATAAACCCCTTACGGTTTTGGCACACAAAAAAATATACGGGCACAAAATAGCCAAAACGTTTTAGCCTCTATACTATTTGTCATTGTATACTCCTGAAACGGAGCAAAAAGTCGGACACTCCATATTAGGGATTACATTTCAACCCCAAAATGAGGGTGAATGTAATTTTAATAGAATTAAATTTTATTTGTAACTCAAAAAACGGATAATTTGGAACCTTTTCTGCCTACCCTCTTTCTCGGAGTTATAATATATAACTCCCTAAAAATAACAGGATAATCAACACGGATAATAATCCAAACACATACATGCTGTTTGTCAATAGACAAATCATATACTCGATTCTTTGTCTTTGATAACATCGCCAAAAAATTTTTAATTACTCAAGCGTTGCAGCTGTATTTGTATTCGAACAGTAGACCGTTGACACAGGTTACAGCTAAGTTTAAATAATTGCAAAAATAGGCTTCAAAAACAATAGGACACAAATGAACACTTTGTAAAGCGTAAAACTCGCAAGAAGACGACAGAATATTACTGGACAAAAGGATTCGTAAAAACAATGATATGAAAATAATCTGAAGGAGTTGGATTCGTTAAAGTAAGTGCATGGTGTGGATTCTAAGTTAAGTTAAAATAATGAATAATTAAACTTAATATCTTAACTCTGAGTTGGAGCTTACAAAATGTACATTTTGTTAAAACCATTTTTTGTTAAAAATCTTTAGTTTAGGAATTAAAATAGTTCTATCCTTTCTTCTTTTTTCTTATTAAAAATTTTATTATTTCAACCCAACATCATATTTGCAGATGAATTAACTATACCTCTATAGTCTCTACATAGATACGCAATTAACCTCTGTTATATATATTTTGCTAAAATACCACGAAATTTTAAGCAAAAGATTAGAAAACCATCTTCACTTCAACCATGCACGCTATACATGGGCTTCGACTGGATGTGTTGCCTGCCTCATGAATCGTATAGAGCTATACGCATGAAGTTCGCCTACACGCAGTGCTTTTTTTGCAAAACTGCGCCATCTTGCCCGTTGGCGTTCAATTTACTACTTTTGGAAATGCGTTTTATCTAAAAGTCCAAATCTTCATCAGCGCGCGACTATTAAATGTAAACGCTGCGGGTTCGACAAAATAAAACAATATACGCATGCAAAGCAACCTATACTGCAAATTAATTGATATATTTTCACAAAAGCGTGTATTTTACAATTGGCTGTAAGGGAACAAAATATGTGTTATATTAAATAATGCATATATATGAAAACGATATTCCTGATATGTGTCCCAGTGGCGTGATATCTTTGAAGCATCACTCGAAGTTGAAATGTATCTTACTCAAGGACAAGGACAAGGCACAAGCGATTCATTTGGGAACTTGCCACGCACTCAGTTTTAAATATCACGTGCTATACGATCATCTTCTGAGTTTTGACACCAGAAACTCCCCACTCAGATGGAAACTTTACTTGTTTTCCTCATTTCATTTCTCAATGGGAGGAAGGCAGTGAATGAAAAGAAAATTGAAAGTTCCATTGAATTTTGTTTATACAAATTGCAACTTTCCCTACATTCAGAGCTACGCACATGATATTTCAACCGTACGCTATAAACATCTGACGACATCATCAATAATTAACAATAATCGTCAGTATAACATTAAGCAAAACCTGAAATCGGCCCAAACCATCGTAGTATGTTAACGTAACGTGTTTCAAAAAGATTGCCCGGCGCTACATGCTTAAGTTCCCTGCAATGTTTTGTTTAAACAGGTGAAAATATAAAAATATATTTGGCAAGTTCTCATAGTTCTTCAAACATGTTGTTTTTATGAATGTATTATCTTTCTTTGCACATTACTCATTAGACTTGTATTTTTGTCCTTTTATATATAGCAGGATTTAGAGGGTTAGGAAGCTAGTCGTGAATTTTTAAGTTTTTCTTAGCAATTGTTTTTTGAACAAGCGACGTTGGCGGTGTTTTATGAGTGTCTCTGTATCCTATGACGTCCGCATTTTATAAAATTGCCGCTCTCTGAAATGATTTTTCACGAAAACAGGAAATAGCAATTCTCTGGAGGATATCAGTGACAAGATGTTATTAAAATTTGAGACTTCATATAGCCACTTTATTAAATATCATTTATCAGCATTACTTTTGATCTACGCAATTATAGCGCCATATGTATGACGAGTATAGATATATTATGACTCTGACAGGTACATTGTGTATACGATTCTGATCGACGATAATCATAAAAATGCTCATTCATGCGTTCATACAGATCAGCAAAATATCTTTGTCTGACAAAAGCAATGGGACATATATATTTCACACAATTTTATACACTCAGCGTCCCCGTCGTCTCCGTTTAATGTTTGTCCAACTAATTTTTTTTAAAAAAAGATGTCTGTTAACCAGACCGCAACAAGCTGAAAAGTTTGGAAGGAGGGGGCGGGGGTATAATACACAGGGGCGCCGAGAGAATTCGCGGGGCCCGGGGCAAATCTTCCCTGGGGGCCCCATGACATCATTATTTTTCAGCTAGACCCAATTAGACCTTAGCTAGACTGCGTGTGGAGGTACTGTAAAAGGTCCTCAATTTCAAAAATGCTCTGATCAATTTAAAGAACCTACTCAATTTTAGGCTCTCAAGTTGGGGCCCTATTAAGGTGGGGGCCCGGAGCAATTTGCTCCCGCCTGCCCCCCCCCCTCCCCCCTCGGCGGCCCTGTCAATACATGCGAATGCATGTTGCAGTAAAACTAGGTTGTACCAGTGTCGCTATAGTGCAAGTCGATACCAATTTTTCTTCTTATCATAGTATTGTCAGTATTTTATACTTGATCCTATTTTACATTTTGTAATTTTAGTATGTTGTATCACATGATTCAACTACAGCTGCAAGGATTTATTAAACGCATTTAACTATTTCTATTTTGTCAAATATTGGATTTCAATTTGGTGCCCGTAGGCGTAGCCACTTTCACACATTCTAGACCTATTTCTAACGTTGTAGTCCAGTATATGTAATGTAACATGCGCATGTTATATACAGCTATTTCAATTAAGGTTGTCCCCCGAGCAATATATATATATATATATGCGATACTTTGTTGATATACGTAAATTATTCAAGCACGTTTGAGGGCAGCACTAGTGGGTGGGCGGGATGCATGGGATGGTGATGGGTTTGTCATAGGTATTTTTTTTTTTGGGGGGGGGGGCTTAATTATAGAGTATTTACAATGCCAGTTCGGTATAGCTGACCTGAATATATTGTATTTGGTTCATATATGGAATAATCAGACATCTTTCCAGTTCGAATTGTTGGAGCAGAAAGATCAATAATTGTTGTAAAAACCCAATCTACATATAGGATTATTTCTATTAATCATCATATTAAAATCGAGCTAAAGTATTAATTTGATATTGAACACGACATGGTAAAACACTCGAAACTGTCGGAAATATTGTCGCCAGCTCGTTCTGCTGCCTACATGCATAAGTTCACGTAATTGCGACATCTGAGAATTTAAAACAACAATATTCGCTACACGTCCAACTTCTAAGTATCACACTCTTACGATATCAAGAGATACCCAATCAAAATTCTCGAATCAAAAATGTTGAGAAAAATTTACATCATTATCATTAAAGAATCAGTAACGCACAATTAAGCCATGCATGCGTGTGTATATAAATCCCTAGATTCAAGTGCAGGTCTTTTAATGACGGCGAACGCGACGCAGACATATCAAGATTTAAATTTGAAACTTTAAATTTCTTTGAATAGAGAAGGTGAAGCAAACAGTACTGAACGACTAATGATCCTCCAAACAGAAAAATGATCTTTCTGCTTGTTCTCTCGCTATTCCTGTGTCCAGGTAAATTCACATTTATGCACATATAGCTTCCGTTTTCATAATTCTGATATATATGTATAGATGGTCTTTCGGTACACCGATTCAAAAAGTAATTATCATCTTTCTCCCGATATTAACTCGAATCAAGATAATCACTGCTGCCGTATCGAATACTTCAAGACCAGCAGTTTTACAAAGTATACATATAATACCATGTATTATTCTCTTTGAAAGTCAAAATGTTAAAAATACCAAAGTTTATGCTAGAGTTATAGCGAAGAAGACTGACTGCTTTGTTTTAGTGTTTTTCCTATTTCAAAGGGCTATAATTTCACATGCATGCATAAATTGTTTTCAATCTTAAACGTTTACACTTCACCATAATAAGCAGTCTCTGTTCAAAAATTATTTTATTTGGCTACATCCTGGTAATGCGTAGATACATTTACCTATTTTATGCTTATGCTATCGTAATGTTAAATTCTAGGTCAGCTAAATTCAAATGAATTCACTGCAAGGGGGACAGCGCATTTCAGAATAACAGGAACACTATGCATACGCGTGGATAACGCGCGAGACATCGTGGATCGTGAATCTGACGTGTACAAAGGCATCGCAGGAAATCTTACACGAGGGGTATTATACTACATCAGATACTTGACATACTACTTATACTGATCTGAGATATTTTTCGCACCTTTGTGTTTGAGCAAATTTTCAAATTTTTAACACGTTTCTATCATATAATACTTTTGTTTGTGGAAACACCACGTAAATTTATTACTGCAAAGCTTTCGATCCGTAAGCCCGGATCTTCATCAGTGCTAAATAAGATCCGGGCTTACGGATCGAAAGCTTTGCAGCAATAAATTTACGTGGTGTTCCCACAAACAAAAGTATTATATGATTCATCGCCAGCAAACCTACAAAGAACTCATGTTTTTATCAGTTTAAACTCGTTGTTTTGATTAAAGAAAGAGTTAAGGAAAATATTTCAAGTGGACTGGTTCGAGGCAACATTTGAACTTTTGGAACTGAACCAGTAGACAACCAAAGGGGGAACCACAGAATGAGAGGTTGCCTGTTCTCTCCTTTTCCATTCGACCAACATTTCTTGCCAACATGATCAGTTTTTCATTTCAAACTCATTCCTAGCTCTGAAAAAAAAACGTCTAGACCATTTCCAAAACGTTTGGAATAGTTTGAGGGAAATGTGAACTTTTGAAAAATAAGGGTTAAAGTCTCTCCGTATACTTTTATGGTATTAAAACTCACATACTGTAATGTTGACGACCGAATATTCTCATATAAATTCTTGTTCTCTTTACTTATATAGTTCGGCACATTTTTCCCCAACACATATCCTTGGCTCAACTATACAGTAACTGTGTTAGAACTTTTCATTTGGTAAGGATGATGCCGTTGTAGGCATGAATTCATTTTTAAGTATATAAACAGTACGACATTATTAGGGAGTTTACGCATGTAACGACGGCGGCGTCAGGACGATGGCTAAACAAACTTTTTGAAATAAATGATTGTATGAAAATGTTGTCCTGTATTTACTTTCTTATTATCTTATAAATTTAATACAGTTTAGAACGAGTAAAACAGAGCTTTAACCTTCAGAGCAATTTTGATCAACGCTGTTAGAAAAATCGCCTGCCACGGCTTGAAATGCTATAGCGTACTTTACAACACGTGAAAATATACATTTTGCCGTCGTCAACAGAGCATGGACGACGTCTGAAACTCCAGATATACTTTTAATTATTCATTTCTTTTGTGCTATAGGATTAATGATATTGTATTGATAACCGTCGTTCTGATGTTGCCGTCATACATGCGTAAACTCCCTAATACCTCCGCCACGAGGTTACGTTCTCATCGGCGTTTGTATCGATCTCTGTCTGTGTGCCTATGTTTTTTATTTCATTTGAAAGA